CGTGCATTTTTTTGGAGAGGGAGCCACTTCAAGCGTCCACGCCCACCTCAGTCAAACGGGCGCTTGAGGTTTTCTTGGCCCGTACAATGCCAGAGACGTCTTGCACGTTGCCCAGCAACGCGCCCGCAGCCTCACGGCATTCCCCATATAGATGCGCGGCCAGTCTTCGCTAAATTAGCTTGGCGAAGGACCCAACCATATGCAGTTGTGGGTATTGCATTCGGGGGAGCCCCGTATGGGGCCACGAAACGCTGTACTGGGTGGGGGGGTGGGGGGGGGCGCATGCGAACTGCGCCACTGGGACCTTCGGTGGAGCTCCCTATGGGGCCACGAAGCGCTGCCCTGGGTAGGGGGGAACGCATGCGAACTGCGCCACTGGGGCCTTCGGTGGAGCTCCCTATGGGGCCACGAAGCGCAGCCCTGGGTGAGGGAACCGCATGCGGGCTGTGCCACTGGGACCTTCGGTGGAGCTCCCTATGGGGCTACGAGACGCTGCCCTGGGTGGGGGAACCGCATGCGGGCTGTGCCACTGGGACCTTCGGTGGAGCTCCCTATGGAGCCAGGGGGAACCGCATGCGGGCTGTGCCACTGTGACCTTCGGTGGAGCTCCCTATGGGGGTACGAAGCGCTGCCCTGGGCGGGGGAACCGCATGCGGGCTGTGCCACTGTGACCTTCGGTGGAGCTCCCTATGGGGCCACGAGACGCTGCCGTGGGTAGGGGAACCGCATGCGGGCTGTGCCACTGTGACCTTCGGTGGAGCTCATTATGGGGCCGCGAAGCGCTGCCCTGGGTGGGGGAACCGCGTGCGGGCTGTGCCACTGTGACCTTCGGTGGAGCTCCGTATGGGGCCACGAAGCGCTGCCCTGGGTGGGGGAACCGCATGCGGGCTGTGCCACTGGGACCTTCGGTGGAGCTCCCAATGGGGCTACGAAACGCTGCCCTCGGTGGGGGAACCGCATGCGGGCTGTGCCACTGGGGCCTTCGGTGGAGCTCCCTATGGGGCTACGAAACGCTGCCCTGGGTGGGGGAACCCCATGCGGGCTGTTTCATTGGGAACTTCGGTGGAGCTCCCTATGGGGCTACGAAGCGCTGCCCTGGGTGGGTGAACCGCATGCGGGCTGTGCCGCTGGGACCTTCGGTGGAGCTCCCTATGGGGCTACGAAGCGCTGCCCTGGGTGGGGGAACCGCATGCGGGCTGTGCCACTGGGACCTTCGGTGGAGCTCCCTATGGGGCTACGAAATGTGTGAGGGGTGTGCCGAGAGCAGAGGCAAGGAGGAGGAGGAGGGAGGAGGGCGAGGAGGGGGAGGAGGAGGAGAGGAGGTGGGACGCGGGGCGCTGTCTCTTCAAAACGAGGACCCAACACCACAGGATGGTTGGGAAAAACTGGACTGGATGCACCGTCTGTCAAACTCCGATTTTCCATCAAGTCCCATTGTTTTTCCCATGCCGCCGCCGCCATCGTCGTCGTCGTTGTCGTCGTCGTCGTTGCCGCCGCCGCCGCCGTCGTTGTAATCGTGGTGGTGGACGTCTTCGTCGTCGTCGTCGTCGTCGTCGTCGTCGTCGTCGTCGTCGTCGTCCCTTCTCCTCCCTTGCGCCGCCAGCGCAAGCGGTGCCTGATTCGCCTGTCGTCGACCTGGTCGGCGAGCTGCGCAGCCAGGCGTGCCCGTGAACGCCCCTACGAGCGACGACATGGTGATGTTCTGTGTTTTGGGGGCAGTTTGCTTGCATCAGTCGGTGGTGGTGGTGGTGGAAGAAACAAGACTGCATGCGTTAGCATAACCGTTTAGACTATCGCACAGATTCATTGGAGCGCCGCTGGACCCGTCTCCCCTGCATAGGGGTGATCCAAGGCAGACTTAGATATCTGCGCGAACCTCCGAACAATTCGAATTGTGTGTTTCCTTACGCAGCGAATGCGACAGGGATCTTAGTATGACAAGAACAGGTTTCTGAGGTTCAGGAAGCGAAGAATTATGCCGTGCCGTGACTGGCCGTGCCTGCGTGCCGTGCGTGCCGTGCCATGACCGCTTGTTGTGCCTTGTGCGTGCCGTGCCGTGCTTGAGTTTTAGAGTGCGAGAAATGTGCCGTTCCGTGCCGTGATGTGCGCGTGTCGTGCCGTGCACGCGTGCCGTACCGTGCGTGTGCCGTTCCCGCCTGCCGCGTCGTGCGCGTGCCGTATGCGAAAATGTGCCTTGCCGTGCTGTGCTGTGCCTTGCCCGCGTGCCGTGCCGTACTGTGCCGTGCTGTGCCGTGCACTGCCGTGCCCGCATGCCGTGCTGTGCCCGCGTGTTGTCTGGGTGCCGTGCCGTGCCCAAGTTCTACGATGCGAACAATGTATCGCGCCGTGCCGTGCCATGCGCGTGCCGTGCCATGCGCCTTCCGCGCCCCGCCCCGCATGCCGTGCCGTTCGCTTGTTGTTCGCGTGCCGTTCGGTTGCCGTGCCGCGCCTTAGTTTTGTAATGCGAAACAAATGTGCCGTGCCGTGACGTGCCGTGCTCGCGTGCTGTGCCATGTGCGTGCCGTGTCTTGTCCGCGTACCGTGCCGTCCGCGCGCCGTTCGAATGCGGAACATGTGCGGTGCTGTGCCGTGCCCGCGTCACGTGACGTGCGCGTGCCGTGCCATGGTCGCGTGCCGTGCCGTGCGCGTGCCTGCGTTGTTTGTTGCGAGAAGTGTGCCGTGCCTTTCCGTGCCGTGTCGTGCCTTGTGCGTGACGTGCCGTGCCCGCAGGCCGTGTCGTGTTTCGTGTTTAGTTTTCAGATACCACCTGTCTTCTCCTGTAGCGTTGCTCTTCAAGGTCTCTGTATGCCGGCCAGGCGGGAGGTTCGGCTTTCACGGCGATCTGCTTGGTGTGGATGCGCCGTGACCCGTGTGGTGCGTCCATGATCCAGAGGCCACGTGGCAATGCCTTGCCCCGAACGTCCGAGTTGGGCATTTGTCAGTGCCACTCCACCTGCGGCCATCCATCTTGCACAAGCACTCCCAGCGCAGGCCACGCAGGTACTTGGGGCTTGCTGGGGGGCTTTAGAATGGCCCCTGAGTGCCCCCATCTTGGACAGTGATACATCAATGTTCCTCTGACGGCCCGAACTGGTCTGCGGCCCACCTTCGGTTGTTGCGGAGGTTCCCTGAGGCATCCTGAAAAGGTGCCAAGGAGCCGCAAGTGAGCTTCGCAGGGGCGTCCAGGAGGTCAGGAGGCCTGGTTACGCCCATCAGGTGTCTCCAGACATCCAGCAAGCCACAGTGCAGTTCCCTGTTCATGAAAAAGAGGATACGGAGTACCTAGATACTTGGAGGGTGTATCTATCGCCATGACGGGCTTGGCTGGATCCGAGGACTTTGATGGTGTTGGGGTGGTGCCGTGACCGATTCTGAAGGAGCTTCCGGAGGAGTTGAGACGCAGTCGTTTATCACAGGCATGCGTAGATTACACTTGGTAAAATCTTTCTTCCGAAGCTCTGCCATCTAGGAGGGGAGAAGGAAGAGAACAGGTGGATGTGAGCCTCGCCGCATCCACCAGAGGTGGCCTCCACCGTACAGGATTTCAAGGAGACCGTGCTTGGCAAGTGGGAGTGTCTTCTTACATGGTACCTTGCAAATGTACAGTGACTTAAATTGGGAAGGCATGGTTTGGTCACGAATGAAACGACCTGCCGTACATGGCAAGCGAGCGGATGTGAGGGTCGCTCAGGAGAGTTCCCGGCTGCCTGCGCAGCAGCGCATCAGGAATGATGTTGAGTTTCAGACATGTTTTGGTCGAGTGTCCTGTCGGAGTCGCCGCGAGTGTGTGAGGGCGGGGGGTTCTGAATTAGCGCTGCCTCTCTTGAGCACCAGAAGTCGTCTCTTGGGGGGCGTTCGTGTGTCACTTTTGGGCGCTTTTGGGGCCGTTTTGTAGCCCTTTTAGGCCCCTCTTGGAGCCATCTTGAGGCCTCGAAAGCCCATCTGAAGCCAAATGGCGAGAACGCACGAAACATATTTTGTTTCGACGGTCTTTGAGAAGGATTTCGGCCTGTCGGGGGGCGTCCTTGGGAGGCTCAGCGGCCACTTGGAGTCGTCTTGGAGCGGTCTCGGAGCGTCTTGAAGCATTTTGGAAGCTATCTCGAGCCATCTTGGGATATCTTGATCCATCCTGAGTGCCATCTGGATGACGGGGGCCATCATGGAGCCATCTTGGGCCGTCTTGGGCGCTCTGACCGCTCGCCGCCTCCCCGTCCAGACCTAGGTGGAGGGGGGCAGGGGGATGGGGTAAACCCCTCCCTGAAAGGAGAAGAGGGAGGATAGAAGAGGAAACACCCTAAACCACGTCCGCGTCAAAGGGCTGGTGGGATTGTCGGGTTCTTCAAATCTTGCTTCGGCCTCGACGGTAACGTCGTCTTCTCTCCATCCGCCCTCGTCCTCCTTATCGCAGTCACCTCCCGATGGAGCTGAATGCCTGGTTGACGACAGAAAAGGGCGCAGTGTGCTGGCATGTCCCGAACGCATGCGCAAAACGCAGCGTGCATAGAACCGCTTGCGGAAATTTAATCTGGGGGGAACAGGGATCGAGGCAACTGGCCGCAAAGAGGGACAAAGAGAGAGAGAGAGAGAGAGTGCAGGGCACAGTTGCTAATGTGGCTCAACTCTATGACCCCTCGCGGGGCATGCTGTAGCGCCAGTCGTCTTGCGCTCGGACCCGCCGCCTCAGAGCATAGTTCCGCGAGGGAGCTCGGCGGCGGCCAGGGCGAGGGCTCGCGCCGCAGCGAGGGAGGCCTGAGGTATCGTCGCGGCTCGCGCACCATGGCAAATGCGAAGGCGCTTCCTGGCCGAAATCCAGGCCGTGGGCGAGGCCGCGGCGCGTGCGGCGGGCCGCCGCTGCTGCTGGCTGCCTTCCCCCCGCCCGTGCCAAGAGGCCAGCCAGGGGGCGGCGGAACCCCAGTGGTACCAGGCGCCCCCGCGCTCGGCGGCCGCCGCAAGAGGAGGTTTCGGCCCGTCGCTCCCGCTGGGGCCACCCCCCGCCGCAGGCCCATGGGCGCGCTGCAAGCGAGGCTGCCTGTGACGGTCGTGGCGCTGCAGGAGACGGGCCACAGGCGCAGGCGGCGCGCGAAGATCTGCGAGACGCGGCCGAGCGGAGCGGCGCAGTGGGCGGCTCTGCGCGGCGTCGCGAGGATGCCGTGCGCGACCATCGCCCAAGGGCCTTTGCTCGCCGACGATTTCGACTGGGCTGCGAAGTTGATGGGCCGGCGGATCGCCTGCAACGGGTCGGAGGTGTCGACGCCGTAACGCCTTGCGCTCGAGCAGGTGGAGAGTGGCTTCCCTCCCGTGGGACTGGCCTCGTCGATCGGGGCCGCCGACTTGGTGGCCGCGGGCTGTGCCCGGGCGGCGCTGCTGGGCCCGGGTCTGGTGATGCTGCCGCCGCTGCGGCGGGGGCGCGTTGCTTCGGCCGCGCGCGCGTCGACTCCCGACGCCGGGTGGCATCTCATCGCGAGCGCCCTCTACGTCCGCGGGATGATCGGCTCGATTGACAAGGCAAACATGGTCGCCCGCGACGGGCAGCAGGTTGTGAACCTTCCGATCGCGTGCAAGGAAGGGGTCAGCAGGCCGGTGTTGCGCCTCATCGTCAACGTCGCGCCGTCGAGCGCGTGCCAAATTTGCATCGCCAGCGATGTTTTCGAAATGCTGACCGTGGGGCCGTTGCACGGGCTAGTGCTTGCACTGGGCGGGGAGCTGCTCTTGGGCGGCGTCGACAGGAAGGCCTTCTTCCCCGTCTGAATTCAGGGCGCCTCCAGCGTGGCGGCCTCGCGCGGGGCTGGGGCCGCGCGCCCTGGCGCGGCTGGTGGGCGGCAGCGGGGGCGCCTCGACCCGCGTCGTTGGAGGTGGTCGTCGTGGGCCGGGTCAGCGCGGTCGGCGCTGCGACCTACCCGCGCGGGAACGCGCCGCGGTGGCCCGCTGCCGCGCCCCGCGGCCTTGTGCCGGGCGCGGGGCGCGGAGATCGCTTTGCGCCGGCCGCGGAGGTCGCGCGCGGGAGGCAGTTGCCGCGTGGCTGCGAGGTGTCCTGCTCAGCGGCCTGCTTCGTCTGCGTCGACGACCTCGAGATCGCGGAGGTCGTCTCCCGCGAAGAGGCCGAGGCGCTGGAAGGCGCGGTGCCGTCTCTCTTGAGTGACGATGGGGCGTGCCGCGCAGCGGCGGGCTCGCCGGTGTCGCCCAGGAGGACATCCTCCGCTTCCCGCCTCTCGGAGATCCGATCGACGGCGCCGGGGGCTCGCGAAGGCCGCCCCAGGGCTGCGCCGTCGAGCTGGGGGGCCTGACCCGGGCCGCTGGGTGCTCGGCAGGCGGCGGGCCGGCAGGCGGCTGGTGCTGATCCTGCGTGGCCGCTGTGCGCGCGCGCAGTGCGTCGACGCCCGCTGGCAGCCGCGTTCGCGATCGCCCGGCGCTGGCTGGCGACGCCCTGCTCAGGCGGCTGGATAGGCATCGGAGTCGCGGAGGGCCCCATGATGGCGATGGCCCTGTCGGCGCTGTGCGTGGCCGACATGGGGCTGGAAGTAGACGCCGTCGTCGCGTCTCCGACGCGTCCGAGACCGCAGGGGCCGCGGCGTCCTGTGGCGGCCCGTCGCCGCGCGGCGACGGGGCGCTCGGCCGCCGAATCCCGCTTGTGAGGGGGAAGTAGCGCTGTTCTGGGTATTTGCCGGAATTCATGGCGCCCGCCGCGCGTTCGAGGTGCTCGGCCTGGACCCCGCGTTCCTCCTTTCTTTCGCTCTTGGCCAGGGCGCAGCGCGGGTCGCCGCGTTGCGCGTGTCGCGCGACTTCGACGCCGTGCGCCTGGGCTAGGTTCGCCGACGGCGCTTGTGTTGGGTCTCCTCGGAGCCCCATAGCCCTCGTTCGAGCTCGCGGCCGCCGCGATGCCGGCGAGAGGCGCGGGCGTCTGACCCGACGCGCCAAGTTGGTCCGATGGGGGCGCCGCGCGACGCTGGCTGGCTGGGCGCGGCGCTGGGCGACCGACTTTCGTGCGCTGGGCGCCGCGGAGTCGCCGCGGTCGCGCTCGGCCGGCATCGGGGGCTGCGCCGCGGCGGAGCTGAAGCGCTGGGAGGCTTCAGGCTACGCGGCCCCGCCCCGCCAGTCCAGGTAGGGGAGGTGCTTCCCTGGGTGGGGCGGGCGGATCGAGCCGCCTTCGGCAGGGGCGCGGGGGATGTTGATGTGCTTCGGGCGTGGCTGCGCGGCGCCGTGCTTGTCGAGCGGGCGCGCGAAGGCGGGCCCCGAGAGAAGAGCGGGGTGCTGCGGCGGTCGGTGGTCGGGAACTCCTTCCAGCGCGAGGTCGTCGCCTGGGTCCTGGCCCATGGCTAGGCTGCTGGCGGCCGTGCTGGCGCGCGCCGCCCTCGGCGCCAGCTCGCGGAGCTGGGCAGGCGGGCGCGCGCCGCGGTCCGGGGGCGTTGAACCGCTCTGCGCGAGGGCCACGAGGCTGTGGCCGAGGAGCGCTTCCCCCAGCTCACTTCGCTCGAAGGCGCCGCCGCCGCGGCTTCCGCGGCCGCCGAAGGAGTCGCCGGGCGGGCGGGCAAGCGGGGGGCGCCGCGGGCGCTGCCGCGGCCGCTGGTTGCGGGCCTTGAGATCGGGCCAAGGGCAGAAAGATTCGGCCCGATCTCGCAGCAGCTTCCAGGGCCGCCACACGGTCAGCCGGGCGAGCAGGCGAGGGCGGGCCGCTGGGGCGCCGCGGGCGCCGCCGGTTGCGGTCCCCGAGATCGGGCCAAGAGGATGAAGATTTTGCCCGATCTCGCTGCGATTTTCGGTGCCGCCAACGGAGCCGCCTGGTGGGCAGGCACGGGTGGCGGGCGAGCCGCTGGGGGCGCAGCTGGCGCCGCCGCGGCCGCTGGTTTAGCGACGGATTTGGCCCGATCTCGCCGTGGGTTCTGCTGCCGCCGAAGGAGCCCGCTGGGCGAGCCGGCGACGCCGCTGCGGCGGCGCCTTTGGCGCAGGGGCCGGGGCTGGCGCCGCTGGCGCCTGGGCCCTTCGAACTGGGGGAACCCCCTGCCGCCAGGAGACGCGGTGGCGCAATGTGCCAGCTGGCTTGCGCGCCGGCCCGCGCTGCTCGACGCGCTGGGGGAGCTGCGCGGAGCGGGCCTGCTCTGCCGCTGCCGCTTGGCGCGCTGTGCGAAGCCGACGTGCCTCTGGAACCTGGAACGGCTGGCGCGGCGCCAGCCTGGCAGGTGGCGGCCTTTCAGCCCGATTAGCGCGTGGTGTCTACACCTGTGAAGTGTGCAGTCTTTTCTGGCGCTGACCCTGGTGCGCGCGAATTCGAAGTCGCAGGCTTTCGGCAAGGTCTTTCCCGGGCCGGAGGTGGGTGCATATTTGTTGCCGTGGGCCGCGGCGAGGCGGATGGCGTTGCGCGAGCAGGTGCCGCGCGTTCACGTATCGGGGTGCGAGGCGGCTCTGATGGCGCGCGCCGCGCTGGAGGGCCCGGGCCATTGCCCTCCGCAGCCGGGCCTCCTCGACAGCGCGGTCAACGTGGGTGCTCCGAGCAGGCGCCGGCCCAACATTAGCCGGCTTGGCAAGGTGGCCCACGCGTTCTCGGTCCTAGAGCTGGCGACGGGCGCGCGTAGGGTCTTCGGGTTCACGTCTTCGGCCGGGGGCCCGGCGGGCGAGGGCGCGGCTGGGGCGAGTGGCTGACGCTAGAGTTAACATCAGAACCTGCAACAGGTGCAGACTCGCATGCTGGCAAATGATAGACTGCGCGTTTGCCATCTGCCTGACCTTGCCACCCCTGTGGGGTTAGGTAGATGTTGGCATGCAAGATTTCTCGGGGCGCCGTTGGCCTGGCGGAACTGCCGACGGCCAAGCCAACGATGCGCTCCGCTGCTTGCGCCATCTGCTTCGCTCCAGGCGGCGGGTGCCCTGCGCTTGGCGATTCCTGTCTGTTTGGCGCCGCCTGGTGGTTTGGCGCGCGCCTCCGATGCCGGTGCAAGATGCCGCGGCTCTGGCCGGCTGGGCGCTGGCGCGCGATGAGATGGCTTAGCGGTTGCCGCGCAAGTGCTGGCGGGCTTCCACTTGTGCCCGCGCGCTGGAGAGACCCTCGGGGCGATTCGGGCGCTCGCCCACGTCGGGCCGCGCAGTCGTTCCGCGCTCGTGGGCGAAGACGCCTGCTCAGAAGGGCGCCGGCGAGAATGTCAGTGTAGACGACTCGCATGTGGGCGTCTGGCTACGCCGCCAGTTGGCTCGAGACAGCGCTGGTCGGCAGTGCTGCCGTGCGCCCGGCAAGCATTTCGCGCAATTGTTCGAGAAACGATGACGGGGATTGGCTGTGCACACTTGCGGCTCCCGCCCCATGGTCTACGGCGCACATGCATATCCATGCTTATATATGTATACACGTACCTGTACATCTACAGTTGCAAGCACATTTACATGTGCATGTACATGTGCTTTTGCAATCACATGTGCATCTACATGCACATATACATGTGCACATGCACATGGACATACACATACTTTGCGTATGCATAGCGCATGTATTCACATATACGTATATACATACGCATTCGCGTATGCGCGCATGTATTCTCACAGTTGTAATCAGATATACACATATTCATATATGCATTTGTATACGTTCTTATATCTATATTTGTATATATACATATGTACGGATTTACATACGCGTATACATATATTCACATATGTATACAACCATATACGTATGTACATACATATGTATTTTTGTTTGTTTGTTTGTTTGTTTGTTTGTTTGTTTGTTTGTTTGTATGTATGTATGTGTGTATGCATTCTGTATGTCAGTAGTCATATATGGAAGTATGCATGTATATATATATATATATATACATACACATGTACATATATATACATATATATATATATACGAATATATATATATATATATATATATATATATATATATATATAATTTATATACACACATATATATGTATTAGTATATCTATGGGCCCAGGCGTATTCCTTTGTTGAAATCGTTGGCTGTTTTTTTTCGGACGCTTTCCGTCCTCCCCACACGCTTCAGGACGCTTTGGGGTGATTTTTTGTGTTGCGGGCGGGGTCCTTCGACACCCACGTTCGTGGCCAAACACATTCCCTGTGTAGGGGTTTGGGTGGGTACACATCGATTCCCTTTTATTGGAGGCTACACATACATTCCTTTTGTGGCGGAATGACCCACGTAATACATTCCTTTGTGTGTATGGGGTGCATGTTGAATTCTTTTGTGGCGGAGGAGGAGGGTCTGGCCTTGTGGGAAAAAAAAGGATCAGTGGATTCACTGGTCCTGTTCTTTTGTTCTTCTTTTGTTTTTTTGGCCCAGACGAGGTGCCAATGGATCCAGAAGGCAGTTTTTTTTTGGTGTTGGAATGTTCCCGCCAGGGCAAAAGGGCCCAGCCCCCGATCGAGGAGGTAGCCCCGTCGGTTTCGTCCCCTTGTTTCTCCTCCTCCTCGCCCTCCTCCTTCACCCCTGCTCCTCCTCCCCGTCCTTCCCATTCCCGCCCCCAGATTCTCCTTTTCCCCTGGTCCTTCTCGTCCCCCCCCCCTCCTCCTCCTCCTCCTTCTCCTCCTTCTCCTCCTCCTCCTCCTCCTCCTCCTCCTCCCCCTCCTCCTCCTCCTTTTTCTCTTCCTCCTCCTCCTCCTCCTCCCCCTCCTCCTCCTGCTCCACCTTCGGATCACCCGGGAGGGGAGGAGGAGGAGAAACATGAGGAGGGGGAGGAGGAGGAGGAGGAGGAGGAGGAGGGGGAGGAGGAGGAGGACGAGGAGGAGGAGGGGGAGGCGATGCTGCACACGTGATCCTCCAACCGCTTCCATCCGAGGTTCTCTTTCATGCTTCTGCTTGCGCTGGAGGGTGAATTTGAAAGAGGTTCACTCGTGGACCGTCGGTGGCAGACTTCGTCGGCGGCACCTCCTCCCTCCTCCTCCTCCTCCTCCTCTTCCTTCGCGTCCTCCTTCCCCCTGCGATTCTCTTTTCTCCCTCTTCCAGCCCCTTCTTGTCTCTCCCATCGTCCTCCTCGTCTCCCTCCTTCTCCTCCTCCTCTTCCCCTTCCTCCTCCTCCTGACGACGATCCTGACGATGCTTCCGATGGCGCGGGAAACTCTGCGGGCGGAGGATGCTGACGCGGGGAGTTCTCCAGCAGCTCCGTCTCGTCAAGAGTTGTCTTGGTGTGCCGGAGCCATATTGGGCATCATATTGATGCACATCATCACCATCGTCATCGGCGGCAGCTTGAAAATACTACTCGTCGTCAGCATGGTCATCGATATCATCAGCAGGTTGATGCATTTCATCGGCATCGTCATCAACAACATTTTCGAAACCGTACTCGTCATCACCATCGTCATCACGGTTTTGATCGTCATACTCGTCATGGCCATCGTCACCAACAGCATCATCAGAGTACTGCGTGTCATCACCATTGTCATCAACAGCATATTCAAAACCATACTCGTCATCACCATGGTCATCAACAAGGTGTTGATAGGCATAGTCGTCATCACCATTGTCACCTATCGCAGCATCAGACTAACGCATGTCGTCAGCATCGTCATCAACAGCGTGTAGAAAACAATACTCGTCATCACCATCGTCATTGGCACGTTTGAATTGCATGGTCGTTACCATCGTCATCGGCGCTGCCTTGAAACACATGTTCGTCATCGGCAGCATTTTGGGAGTAATACTTGCCATCGTTATCGTCATCGACACTATCTTGGGGCTGATACGTGCCATCAGCATCGTCATCGACAGCATCTGGAAAATCGTACTTGTCATCAGCATCGTCATCATCCGAGTCATCGGCAGTATCTTGAACGTAGTACTCGCCATCAGCATTGTCATCGGCCGTATCTTCAGGCTGATGCACGTCATCATCATCGTCACCGTCTTGAATACCATATTCGTCATCACCATCGTCATCGGCAGGGTCTTGGAACACATTCTTGTCGCCACCATCGTCATCAGTTGCATTATTTGTGTAATTCGCGTCATCTGTATCGTCACCGATGTATCATCAAATCCTAAGCGCGTCGTGTCCACCAGGAAGTAACACATTGACATACACACAACTTTCATCAATTCAGTCTTCCGTAGCTGGTTTGAGGCTCGAACGCTATCTTATTGCAAGGTTCACGCCGTGCCCCCTGACGATGCCGAGGGATGGGGAAGTCGAGAATATCACCAGGACCCCACCGCAGGTCGCAGCCAACAGCGGTTGGAAGGCCCCCGCCCCTTCGACGAGAAAACGCCTTCGTCGCAAGCAGGTGGCCCCGCGTGCTTCCATTTGCCTTCGCAAGATACTTGCAGCACACGAGAATAACACGGCTAACATAGAGGCGGCGCGGCGCAGCCGTGAGAAGAAACGCCTGGGGAAACTCGACGACGAGGTGGTTGTGAGGAAACGCCCTGTCAAAAGGCAAGGTTCCTCGAGCTCGTCTCCAGCGTCTTCTTCGTCCACGTCGTCGTCAGACGTCGTGGGCAGCGATGGCTCGTCGGGCTCCGACTGGTGCCGCGCGCAAGAACAAGCCAGCTTGCGGTGTCTCCCCCCGGAGAAAAAAAAACACATTGTCGTGGGCGGCAATCAAGAGAGAGGAGGGAACGCGAGGGAGCAATCGGAGTCAACGACGCAACGCCCGCGAGTTGCCGATGGCAGGGTTGCTTTCCAGCATGACGCGGTTGGGGCTGCAGTAGGGGAGTCATGCAGCGTTCCAGGGGTGCCCCCAAGGGGAGGCCCAGAAAGGGGGCGCGCGAGCGACCCGCGAGGGGGTTCTGGAGGGTCCCCATTAAGGAGCCCGAGAGACAAAACCAGGCGGGGGGGAACCGTAGGACACACTTTAACCAATCATGACAATGTGTCGTCTCCCCATTGCTTGTGTTTTGGCTGAAAGAAGGTTTGCGCCCAGACGGCCGCGACTCCGCCCACTTCGCCACGTCGCGTTTCTCGCTGTCCGCGCCAGTCGGTGGAATGGCGGCGCCAGCAGATGCCCCCGTCGAGCGCCGCGCGCGCCCGCGCCTGGCTGCGGCGACTGGCAGCGCCGACGCAGGGATGTGGAAATACGTTGAGCTTGACGAGCTGAATGCCAGCTACTTGAAGTTCCAGGTTCTGGCAGGGGCGGCGAGGCCGAAGGTGGCCCTCTCGGAGGGGGCCACGCGGCTGGCGAACAAGATGGCGCTTGACTTCGGCGGGGTTTGGGCGAGCGCGGATCTCGCCAAACAGCATGCCCTGTCCATTGTCGCCTTGTGCGTGGACTTGGGCATGGCCTGGGGCCCAAAGAGCGACTTCCCCCTCGCCCTCGTTGTCGGTTGCTTTGCGGGAGCGAGCTTCGCGCTCGCCCCGGTGCCGCGTGCGAGCTGGGGGGCGGGGCCTGGCTGACCGTCGACGCGACGCCTCAGCGCCTCGCCATCCGCGCGGGGCAGGCGATGGCGGCGGCCAAATTCGCCCCGCGGGAGGCTGCGAAGGCAGAGGTAAAACGTGCGTGGGCGAGCGTCACTCCCTTCTTGAAGAACTTCCAGGAGTGGGCGAACTTCGCCCCCGTGGAAGACTTCGAGCAACGCAGTG